AGTTTAAAAGCATTATGTGATTTTCTATTATTTAATAAATACAAGAGAGCTTGCTTAGAATGCTAAAAGAATTCAAATATTGTTTTTCAGAGAAAATGCCAATTTTTTCCCAAGAGAATGACATGCTCATTGAAATTGAATTTCCCAGTAGCCAAAACAAATGTTATAAGGTATTGAAAAAAATGCATTCAAGTGATTGTGAGTAAAATATTTTATATTCAGACAAATTGTTAGAGGAAAAATAAAAAGCATTAGCAGGGGGTAAGTTTCTAAGCACAAAGGAATGTGGGACAAGATTGACCTTTTGGAATCATGTCTTACAAGATGAACTCACTACATTGTGCTTTTCATCCCACCATTAGGAAGGGATGAAAGCAGTTGAGGTGGTAGTCTCTTAATCTTCAGAGGTACTTTGGAAAAGTACAAAATGTATTTTCCTACCAATGGTGGTATTCTATTGAGATGGGTAGCTAGCATGGGTTACACATAGATAGATAAATTTCCTATAGATAGTTTTTAGGAAGCATTCAGAAATTAAAAAAATACATTTTGCTGCAAGTCAAGTTTCAGCCTACCCCAAACCCTCAGCAAATCCAGAGAAAACCCCACCAGATATAAGGCTAGGACAGCTCAACATTTCAATTCATGATGTAGCTTAATAATCACTAAGAAACCTTCAGCTTCCCTGTGGAGGGAGGAAGGCCAAATACCACCACTTAACTGACCAAGCCATAGAAATGATAAGAAGATCATCTTTTAGCTTAAAAATGTGTGAATTGTAAATGTCTGTCTGATCTCTTGCAAAAGACAATATGGTCAGGAAAAGAACACTGACAACTCCCTTTCTCTCTTCCCAACAGATCCCAGAGATATCCAGCTCCAGAGTGGAGATTACCTGAGTTCCACCCTCTTTAGCATATCAATCATTGTGAAGGTGTATCAGATCTATAGTAAACCTTTTTTCTGGTCCATGCCAGCTCAGGCATGTCACCTTCTTTTCTCCCTGCTTTCTCTGGTAAACTTTGTTAGAAAACTTTGATAACTGCTGTAAAATTCATTTTAGAAGTGAGAAGGGAAAATTCCATGAGTTTTATGCTGCACCCCACCTGGAATCACTATCATTTACTTAATATGAAGAAAATCCTCAATTATCTTGATAGAGGGATTAAATAAGGCATTTTTAACCTGCAAACTTCTAGATATTTTACTACTTGTATGCCTATTGAAAGTATACAACTAAATTATGTAATCCAGTTAGAAGATTAATGAAATCAAAGTGTAAAATGTAAGTTCTCGCAGTCAAGAGAAATTGGGAAAAAACACAATTATTTGAAGTTTATATACACATCAGACATGGACACACAGGTGTATAATCTCACACACATGTCCATAGACATAAATACATATGAGCACTCAAAGTTCAGCTGCAATGAAATTTAGCCTGTCTTCTCTTAAGGAAAAATACAAATAAGAAATTCATTAAAAATATATAACTAAGTGATGCTTAATAAAACAGGTAAATGTATTTAAAATAATTGATTTCATAGACTATATATAAAAGACAAATACAGCACTTTTAGCATAAATTAAACATCCCCACAACACCAAATCACACCCAATCATTAGCCACAACTATGGTACCATCTAATGTAAAATGATAGGCTGGGAATGGTGGGTCAAACGTGTAATCCCAGAAGTCTTTGTGGTCATGGTGGGAGGAAGACATGAGTTTAGGAGTTTAAGATAAAACTAGGCAACATAGTGAGACATCATCTCTACAAGAAAATCTTAAAAATTTCCAGGTGTGGAGGCATGCATTTTATTCCCAACTACTCAGGAGGCTGAGGTGAAAGGATTACCTGAGCCCAGGATGTTGAGACTGCTGTGAGGTGTGGTTGTGCAAATGCACTTCAGTCTGGATGACAGAGTAAGATTCCAATGAAAGCAAGCAACAAAAACATAAAATGATAACGAATAATATAAAATCATACAGCAGAGTAAGGTATGCTATTAAAAATCGCTATTGACAATAATAATATGCAATCAATGTAATATGATACAAAAAGTTAGATAAAAAGGTGATAATTTATATTTCAAAGAAACTATTCACCAAGAGTATTTAACTCATAAACCCATCATTTGTCAAACAATATATTCTTGAAATCATATAGAATAAATTATTGCATGTTTGATGAAACAAACATTTATGAGTAAATAAATACAGGTCATTCTATAAAAAACATACCTGTGCATGCATGTTTATTTGCAGCATTATTCACAATATCAAAAACATGGCACTAACCTGCTGCCGGTTGAAATAGGACTGAATAAAAAAATGTGGTACATATACATAATGGAATATTATGCATAAAGAATTACAGAATTATGAACTTCACTGCAACTTGAATGGACTTAGAGTGCTGTGGCCCATGCAGTTGCCTTGAGGGTCCCGAGAGAGAACCACAAGATATTAAGAAAGACACAGACACAAAGACATAAAGAAAAGCTGGGACCAGGTGGGACACCTTCCTCTGATGGAGAATTGACCCCAAACTAGCTCAACACATTTATTTTATAATCAAGCACAAAGTAAGTTGGAAGGAATTCCAGGTTTGTGAAGTAGCTATAACGGAATTTTGTTACTACCTAAAAGGTGAGCTGTTCTATGGTTATCTAGTTGTAGCTAAGGCTTTATCAGTACTATGTGCACCCGGATGTGTGGGTATCTGAGATGCCATTTCGTGTAGCAGGCTGCATCCTCCACCTTTAGCTAGGATGCAGAGCTATCAAGCGAGACCTTGCCTTTGCTTGGGGTCTTTACTCAAGGTCTGCTACAGTGACAACACTAGGCACATCCGCTCCTGACATTAGAGTCTATAATACTGAATGATCTATCACAGAAACAAAGAACTGAGTGCCACATGTTCTCACTCATAAGCAGACCTTGAACAATTATCGTAATACTATAAGAAGGGATTGGCAGTAGTGGGAAGCTGACAGGGAAGTGAGGGAGCACACCTAATCAGCAAGGGTACCTGCATAATGACCATTTGTGTATCTAAGCCTGAATTGTATCCCACATCTTTAAAATAATAAAAGATTCCATCTATTGTATTTACATATGAGGAATTAATCTAATGATATATAGTCAGGGTGTGCATAAAACTAAATTCGGATATATTCATACATATATATGTTAATGTATACATAAATTCACCTATTATACCCATATATATATATACATACATACATACATATATATACATATATATAGCATGTGTCTGTCTGTCTCTGTATATATTTATATAAACCCAAGGTTAGTATATCTCTAAACAAGAAGAAAATGCACATATTTAATGTCTGCATTAGCCATACTGAGTATTTACTAGACAAGAAAGAAAGTATACCTGAATCTTTCCAAAGGACTATCTTATGCATTATATTCCCTTCTCTAGAACAATTTGGATAACATTTAACAATAAAATGATATTATAGAAAAGCACAATACTGTCCAAAATAAATAAAATCCTCAATGATTTTATGGTATATGTATTTAAACTTTATTTTAAGAAATACATTTTGCAAGCATATGTTTGTATTTTGTAACTTTTAGGCAATAAAAGCAGCACTTCTATCAAAGTTGTGAAGTTGTCCCTGTGAATATGTACACATCTTTCTCTAAGGTGTACACTCAAGGGTCATTGTTGTTATCTCTTCCTATAAATGAGACAATTCCAATCTCTTTTATTAATTAATTGCTACAATTCATATTTATACTAGTAAAGGACTAAAATTCTACATGCACAGTTTTATGTTTAAACATGGATGTTACTATTTATTACCTTTGACCCCAATACGCTATTATTTTGGTATCCATTTTTTACTGAAAGTGCACCATAAGAACGAAGAAGAAATTATCATAAACTTTAAAAGAAACATAGTAGCACATGAAGAGTATCACGGAGATGAATTGTAACTGGCTCATACTCATAGGTGAGGTACAATTCTGCTCATGACTTCCCAAATTTGAATTCAATGATATCACATCCACACACTGATGCTGACCCTGGGGTATTTACAACACAGTAATAGGCAAATAAAACAAACTTAGGTTTGATAGAAATGATTTCTCACAGTGTTGGTTTAGCAGCACACCATTAGGTTGTTCCATCAACAACCTTTGTGTTGATTTGTAGTGATAACATTTCTAAAGAAGGTACACATGTGGCAAGTTATGGAAACTGATGGCAAGTTATGGAAACTGATAGGTGCTAGGACATTCTTTAGGACTTAAGTTTTCAGGGTGAGAAGCAGATAAATTCCATTTATTAAGTTATTTCATCCTAGTTCCATGTTGTGAGCTGAAGAGATAGAGAATCCACAGGGGACACATCAGAGAATATGATAGTTAAAAATAAAGAATATGCCTGAGCCTGCGGGTTCGAGACCCGCCTGGGCAGGCGAGACCTCATCTCTACAATAAATAAAAAAATCAGCCGGGCGTGGTAGCACGCGCCTGTAGTTCCGGCTACTTGGAAGGCTGAGGCGGAAGGATCGCCGGAGCCCAGCAGGTCGAGGCTGCGGTGGCCAGGAGCGGCCACTGCACTCCAGTCTGGGCGACAGTGAGACTCCAACTCAAAAAAAATAAAATAAAATAAAGAATATATTACATGAAAGTGAAGCAGAGCAAGAGATCACAGAGGTGTGAATCCAGACTCCCCATGGGGGATGCAGGCTCCTGTCCAAGGGAAGTTGAAAGAGTGGTGGGGGCAGTTGAGGAAAGTCAACTATGAGGAGAAAAAAACCCGCAGTTTAGTGGAGGAAGAGTCTTCCAGACGCCCCAGGCATTTTTCTGCACCTGATCCATGTTTACCACCTCAACATTCTCGACAGACAATTCTCCAACGTATGTCTCAGACTTTCTTCCAGAACTTCCTGGTTTCATCAGATTTATTTCCAAGTTTCTACTGCTCTGAAGGACTCATTGTTCTCTCTGGACTTTACCTTCTGGCTGCATCCTGGGGAATTCTCTGGCTGTGCCAAGCACCAAATAGTATAATCCCAAGTACCCCTAGGATCAAGCCAACCATGCCCATGTGGATGAGATTCTCCACTGTGTAATCCTGGGGCTGCGAGGCTTCAGATGGTGCAAAAAGGGGCCACAGTGGTCAGGGTAAGTCAAAATCACCCTGGACCTTGTATGTCCACCCAGGCCACCTACCTCCCTTTAACAAGACTTGACGTTCCTTGCCCAGACCCATAGCTGAGAGGATCTCCTTACTCACCAGTCTTGGAGTCTGACTTGTTCTGTGATGGGCTGGTGATCTCTGCTGCTCCTGTGATCTTAAAGGCAAGGGTATTGGTGGGGAGCTCTAGAGACCTGAGTCTTTCCCCTGGGCTCTGTGCTCATGTACCATCCACTTCTTGTGATAGAACTCAGATGTAGTCCCTTAATAAAGCCTGTCTCTGCTCCAGAAGGATTTACTCTGGCATCTCCATGGGATTCTTCAGACTGTTTGTTCTGTGAATTCAGACTTTAAGTATTTATCTCATTGGAACAAAGTGTAGCTGACTCTTAAGTGTTCAGAGTTCTTAAGAAAAAAATGAATTTCCAACTGAAATAATTGAGTTTTTGTATTTTTTGTGTTAGTCTGGGACATGGGACCATGTAAGCTGATTCCCTTAGAAATGAGATTATCCAGGTTTTTAGCAGTTGAGGGCCTAGACCCCATGGATGAGGGGTTGGTCCTCAGGGCTCCTGAATGTCAGGAGCACAGAGAGGTAAAAATCTGGGACTGCCTCCTCTTCATGCCACCTCAGACAGTGTCCCTGAGGATTCTCTGTCCATCTGTTTTTTCATTATGTCATACTTCATATAGTAAGAACATCTACAATGTACACACACACACACACACACACACACACACAAATGCACACAACATATGAAAACATACACTTATTTTTTATTTTTTTGAGTTGGAGTCTCACTCTGTCACCTAGACTGGAGTGCAGTGACCGCTCCCAGCCACCACAGCCTCGACCTGCTGGGCTCGGTGATCCTTCTGCCTCAGCCTTCCAAGTAGCTGGAACTACAGGCACGTGCTACCATGCCCGGTTAATTTTTTGATTTATTGTAGAGATGAGGTCTCGCCAAGTTGCCCAGGTGGGTCTCAAACTCGCGGATTCAGGCAATTAACTCACCTCAGCCTCCCAAGGCGTGGGATTACAGCCTGAGCCACTGAGCCCGACTGCAAACGTACACTTTAAAAGGTGATTTTGCCAGAGGTTCACAAAAACAGTATGTACATATATTTTTAAAGTGTGACTCTAGCAGGGAAGACCAACAGCAAACATAAAAATCATACCCGATGAAAAAATATTAACCATATAGTTGAAAATGTGTAAATATAAATGTATGTATATAGATGTACTATATATGTTCCTGCACATATTCACATTTAAATTGAGAAAAATTGGAATACTAATTAGAAGTAAAATAGCAAAATGTTTTCATTTCTTTTTGGTTACCATAAATTTTGTCAGTAACATAGAAGAGATCAACTAAATTAATGTGTAAGAAACAGAACTTCTAATAAGTAATATGAAATAAAATCAATATTTCTGAATTAATAGCTATGTTATAAATACTATTGTGCTATTTGTAGCTGGGTGCAGTGGTGCATGCTTGTGGTCCCAGCTCTCAGAAGGCTGAGGCAGGAGGATGCCTTGAGAGCATGAGTCTGATGCCAGTGTAGGCAACACACATTCATTAATGATCTTTAATTTCAACTGCTGTGAATTTTTAAAAAAATATATTTACTAAAAGCTACTTTCCATAGTAAAATTTCAAATTTGATCTATCCTAATGAAAACTAGAGTAAAGTTTTTAATTAATTAATTATTAACTACTTTTTTAGTCAAGTCTCACTCTGTCACCCAGGCTGGAGTGTGGTGGCACCATCAAAGCCCATCACAGTTTAAACCTCCTGGGCTCAAACAGTCCTTTCACTTCGGTCTCCTGAGTATCTAAAACTATAGTTGACACCATGACTGACTATTTCGGTTTGTTTTTGTAGAGATAAACTCTCACTAGTTTGCCTAGATTGGTCTTGAACTCATGGCTCCAGTGAACCTCCATTTTGGTATCTGAAAGTGCCGGACGACAGACATGAGCCACCATACTCTTCCAAGAGTAGAAGTACTTATTTTTAAACCATAAGTGCATACATCTATTAAACAGCAACAATAGACAGTTATGCACAGCAAAGTTAGCATAGAAATGAACTGCACTACATTTCATTAACATGGGTACCTGCATAATGAAATTTGTCTACCTAACCCTGAAACGTACCCAACATCTATAAAATAAAGATTTAAATAAAGGAATGAACTGCACTGAAGACATGCTGTGGATAATCCCCTAACATGCCTCCAAGGAGCAGGGGAACAGTCCCTCTCTAGGCTCACATGTGCCCTGAATATAAAGACTACCAGGTGAAAACAAAAGAGGCTCTGCTGAGTGGTATCCAAACGTGAGAGACTTCTCTCTGAAGGAGCTTGTTTGGGGTAGTCTCCATCTTCACCACTCTCACTTCCCACTGAGGCCTGAGTAGCCTCCTGCCCTGTCCTGAGATGTTTCATGGACCCCCTTGTGTATAAATGAGGGGGTTCATTCTCATGGTCTCTTGTAAATAAGGAATAAGATCTTCCAAGGGAGTATCCTTCCATCCTCTCTCCTTCTCGCCCCACCTATTCCTCTTCTACCACCCCAAGGATCTTCACTGAGTCCATGTCTAAGCTGAACCAGAAATTCTGCTGAGTTGGTTCATCCTTCTCCTTCTACTAATCAGGTGTACTCCAAGTGCAAGTTAGAGGACTCTGTCTTGGCCTGCAGTCTGATTACATGACCTAGGTTCACACACTTCTCCTTCCAGCCCTCCTTACTCTCTAACCTGATTGAGACTTTAGGGGTGGGTGCCCACAGATGGGTGGTCCCCATTTATTTCCACCATCTTGTGATCTGTATCCTCTTCTGTGTACTCTCCTTTTTATTTCCCACATTTCTAATAGTCCTATAGTGCTCATGGATGCGGGGCTCTGAGCTGACCCACTGAGCTCAGAAAGGACAGGGCCAGGGTTCCTCACCTGAGACCACCAGTTCCAGGAGTTCACTGAGTATGACAACAGAAAAGTGCTGTGTGAGCCATAGAACCTTTAGGTATCCCCATGGGTTGGGGTCACTGGTCTCATGGAGAACTTGCCCTGGTACAGCTGAGCTCAGTATTTTGATGTTAGCTGTATGGGGTTGGGAACTGGCTACCATCTCAATGGACAGAAGGAAAGTGTCTACCAGGTACCATGATTGACACAGCTTGGCCACATTCTCTTCTGATGCCACCATGGAGCCTGGCTGCGCCAAGAAGAAGGGTCTGCTGGAGAGCTTTCCTAGAGAGAAGAGGATTAGTGTGGGGCTGCTCCATCTTGTTCTGATCTGAGACCTCTCCAGGACCTCTCTCTGAGAACCCTCAGTCTATCTGTCTGTGTCTGTTGTCTCTGAGTCACTCCCTCTCCCCAATACATTGACACTTTCTGCCTCTTATCCCCTTGAGATCCTCAGCCATCACCATCTGGGGATCACCTGGTTGACAGGGGTTCTGCAGAGTTTGGGTCCTTGAATGAATTCTCTGGGCTCCTGACCTGCAATCAGGATGTCCAGGGGGGTCGCTGGATGCTGAATAACTGGAGGAGAGGTTCACAATAGTATCACTACCTACTGGCTCCTGTGGGAGATTCTCAGAGGGACCAGGGGGAAGCTGACCTGAGAAAGTCCTGGCAGGGCTGCCAGCCAGGGCACTGGAGGAGGTGCCTTTCCCTCCTCCTTGTATAGAATGAACCTGTCGTACCTGACATTAGAGTGACACTGCAGGCTCAGGCTCACTCCAGGGGTCACAATAGGGTCCTGCTGGGTCAGGAGGGAGGGTTTCCTAGACACTCCTGGAACAAACGAGGAACGAGGACTGTAGGACTGGCTTGTCCCAAATTCTCCCTTCTCTGTCCTGGCCCTGAATTTCTCACTGTCACTCCAAGCCTGAGTCTCTTACCCCTGGGGCTTCTCTTTTAACCTGTGGCTGTTGTAGGAACGTTTTAGACCATGGGCTTCTCCCTGATCTTGACCACTGTCTGTCTGATTGTTCTTCTTCTCACAGTCACCAGGACACAGCAGCGAATAGACCCCGTGCCTTCTTGAGCTAGCCCCTTCCAAATAAGGGTCACTTGAGATTCCTTCTTTCCTCTCAGAGCCTCCCATAGGGTTTTCTTCACTCTTTGACACATTCATCTACATATCCTTATGGGGCTTCACCATAGTTAGCTATCAATCAACCTCCCAACACCATGTCCGGTCCCTGAAATTGAATAAGAGAAGGCAATGGCTTCCTCATCTGGGATAGGAATATCCAGAGGATCACTTGGTTCTGACCACACCTGTGGGGTGTTCCTATAATAGCCATAGCATCTGAACTTCCACCTGTGACTGGGCTTCATGGGGCCCACAGGGAACAGGGCCTGGGACTGCCCATAGGAGTGTTGCTGTGAATCCTGGGTCTAGGAGAGCCTGTTTTCTCCTTCCTCAGTGAGAACAAACCTGCTAAAACCTAGTCCTGAGCCATACTGAAGGGTAATGCTCCCTCCTGTGATCATGAGAGGACTTGGCAGGGCTGCGAGGGTGGGTTTCCTGTAGGATCCTAGGAGAGAAAGAGGCACCATATTAAATGGGGTTCACAACTCCCATGTGATACTGCAATGCTGGGCTGCAAGAGGGGAGAAACTCCTGAAGTCTAATCCCCTTACTGAGGGCAGAGCCTGAATCTGGGACTATAGTTGTCTTCTCACCTGTCACTACCAGTTCCAGGGGGTCACTGGTCTTTGACAATCCTGCAGGGCTGTGATAGTGACAAGAATATCGCCCTGCATAGTGGTCTGTCATGCGTTGGTTGTTAAACTTGACCTTGTTCCCAGGTTCCAGGGAGTTCTTTCTGTCCCAGATTGATGAGCTTCCCTCTTTATCCAAATAGTACATCTGGGCCTCTGGAGTCCCCTGACACCACATGGTCACAGAGCTCCTCCAGATGATCACAGAGCCTAGCTCAGCCCAGAAGATGGGTTTGGGGAGAGTCTCTGGAAGAAAATCAGACTCTGGGTCCCAGGACATCCCACCCCTCAGATCCCAGCTTTCAGTCCCAGGACCCTCCAGACATCCTCCAGAAATGACCCTTCCCATCCCCAGTTACATAGGGGTAGCCTCTTGTCCCCAGTGAGGAGGTTGGACATGGTACATCGAGGGACAGACTCAACTGTCTGCTCTTGATCATGGGACCCAGACTCAGTCCTGAAAGAGATTTTCTTGTGAGAGATTTTCCCCCTGAAATGTGAGAAAATCGCTGCTTTCCCTCAGCCCTGAGACTTCCTTGTAGATCAGGACCTGGTTGTGAGGTGAGTTCTTTCCCATAGTAGAATGTCCCCTTTTCACCCCAAAGTCTCACCAAGGCAGAGCAGGGTCATGAGTGTCGGGGTCATGGTGTCTTTTCCTACTGACCCTGGATGTGTAGATGAGACCAGGATGCCCTCAGGAAAGAGAGCACAGGGTGTGCATACTTGAAGGATGGTTCATCCCAGTCACAGTGTTGTCTCAGCAGCAGCCCACAGGAAGGGGAACTGCCTTTTCTAGAATTTTGGTTCTCACTTTCCAGGGATGGTGCTGGAGCAGGCACCAGACAGCACTGGGCCATGGGGCCAGGAGAAGAAGAATTTCTGATCCCAGACTGCTATCTACCTTGTTTAATTTCCTTTCCTGATGAAGTACTGATGCATTTTTATGGAGTATTTGCAGTGTGCCTTACCCTGGAGATATATCACTGAACAAGAAACAAACAAACAAAACACCCTTAGTGTGCAGACTTAAAAATAACAACAAAGCAGATATTAATAATCATATATTAATAATTAATTAATTATTGATATACAATTAATTAATTAACAAATAATTAATAATTAATCACTATTACTCCTGTAGCAAACACCACAAGAGGAGGGAAGGGGGCTTAAAAGAACACGGGTGTAGTATCTTGTAGTTCTGAGGTTCATAAATCCAAAATGCATCTCCTTGAGCTAAAATGAACTTGTCATTAGGGCTACATACTTTCTACAGACCCCAGAAGAATCCATCTCCTGCCTTTGTAAGCCTTTTCTGCCTTTATAAGCTTCCTGCTTTCGTGTTGACCTTGCTATCCATCTTCAATGCTGCCAGTCACATAATTCTAAATTTTCTTCCATCTTCTCATCTTCTTCTCATCTGATTCTGCACCTCCTGCCTCCCATTTTTATTTATAATGCTCTTTTGTGTTTACATTGAACTCACCTGGATAATCCCAGATAAATTTCCCACCCCAGGATCCTTAACTTAACCGCACCTACAAATTATCTTTTTCCACATAAGATGTCATATTCACATGTTCCAGGGATCTGAACGTGGACATCTTTGGGAAGTCATTATTCCACCTACCACATGCTTCCAGGAACTTCTTCTGCCAAAATTTTTTTTCTCATATCAATATTTTTTATTTTGAAATTGTGGGGTAGAGTTTAGGGTTAGGTTTACAAATATGCTTCGTTCAGACACCCTTGTTGATAAGGGGTGTCTCCCCATCCCCAGAGAGATATTGGCTACTGTGAATCCCACCTCCCTTCTCCTTCCCCCCATAGTTTCCCACCACTGTCAGTCTTTTTTTTTATATAGTATTATGGTGCATGTTCAAGGTCCGCTATATGAGTGAGAACATGTGATACTCAGATCTTTGTTTCTGTGAGAGGTCACTCAGTATTATTGACTCTAGTTCCATCCAGGTTGCTGCAAAGTTAATGATTTTGTTCTTTTTTATGGCTGCATAGTATTCCATCATGTATATGTACCACATTTTTAAAATCCAGTCCTCTTTTAATGGACAGTATGGTTGATTCCAGGATCTTGCTATTGTGAACAATGCTGCGATAAACATATGTGTGCAGGTATCTTTTTGGTAGAGTGATTTGAGTTCTTCAGGGTATATTCCCAGTAGGGGATTGCAGGGTCATATAGGGGGTTGATATTCAGAGCTTTTAGGAAGCTCCACACTGTTTTCCACAGACGTTGCACCAGTTTGCACTCCCAACAACAGTGTGGAAGTGTTCCCTTTTCACCACACCCTCTCCAGCAACTGTTATTTTTTGAGTTACTGTTAATTGCCTTTCTGACTGGACTTAGTTGGTATCAGTGTGGTTTTCATTCGCATCTTCTTGATGATCAGTGAGGTTGAACATTTCTTCATGTGTCTGTTGGCTTCTCGGATGTCTTCCTTTGGAAAGTGTCTGTTCATATCTTTTGCCCACTTTATAATGGGCTTGTTTGTTTTTTCTTTTCAGCACATTTGAGTTCCTTGTAGGTCCAAGATGTTCCCAGTCTGTAGGCTGTCTCTCTGCTCTCTTGATAGTTTCTTTGGTTTTGCAGAAGCTTGTCAGTTTAATGAGATCCCACTTGTCTATCTTATCTCTTATGGCCTGTGGGTTTCGGGCTTTGTTCAGGAGTTGGATACCAGTTCTAATTTCCATAAGGGTGTGTCCTTCATTTTCTAAGATTCTCATGGTCTGAGGTTTTACATTTAGGCCTCTGATCCATTTAGAGTTAATTTTGTGTATGGGAACAGATAGGGGTCTTGTTTGAGTCTTCTGCATGTGGTCAGCCAGTTTTCCCAGTACCATTTACTGAATAGGTTCTCCTCTCCCCAGTGGTAGGTGGTGGTGGCTTTGTCGAAAATTAGTTGGTTGAGAAACTGAGGTTTAGCTTCTGGAATCTCAATTCTATTCCATTGGTCTATATGCCTGTTTTTGTAAATACCAAGCTGTTTTGATTATCATAGCTTTATAGTAAAGTTTCGAGTCTGGTAATGTGATACGGCCTGCTTTGTTTTTTTTTGCTGAGGATTGTTCTGGCTATTGGTTGTTTGTGTTTCCATATGAATTCCTGTATTGTTTTTTTCTAGGTCTGAGAATGTTGCTGGTAATTTGATGGGTATTGCAATAAATCTGTAGATTGCCTTAGGTAGGATGGACATCTTCACAATGTTGATTCTTCCAATCCATGAGCATGGGATATTTTTCCACTTGTTTGTGTCATCTTTGATTTCTTTGAGTAGTGTTTTGTAGTTTTCATTGTAAATGGTTTTCACGTCTCTGGTTAGGAAGATGCCAAGGTATTTCACTTTTTTGTGGCTATTGTGAATGGAATTGTGGTTTTTATTTGGGTTTCTGTTTGTTTATTATTTGTGTAAAGAAATGCGATTGTCTTTTGTACATTTATTTTATATCCGAAGACTTTGCCAAAGTCCTTTATCAGTGTAAGGAGGTTTTTGACAGATTCTCTTGAGTTTTCAAGGTACATGATCATGTCATCTGCAAAGAGAGATAATTTGACTTCCTCTTTTCCTATTTGGATACCCCTGACTGCCTTCTCTTCTCTGATAGCTCTGGCTAGGACTTCCAATACTATATTGAACAGGAGGGGTGAGAGTGGGCATCCTTTTCTTGTTCCAGTTTTCAGGGGAAATAGTTCCAGTTTTTGTCCATTTAGGAGTATGCTGGCTATGGGTTTCTTGTAGATGGCTTTTACTATTTTGAGTTACATTCCCCGTATGCCTAGATATTCGAGGGTTTTTATCAAGAAGGGATGCTGGATTTTACCAAAAGCTTTTTCTTCATCTAATGATATAATCATGTGGTTTTTGTTTTGACATCTGTTGATGTATTTAGTTACATTTATGGTTTTACGAATGTTGAACCAGCCTTGCATTCCAGTGATGAAGCCTACTTGGTCATGATGGATGATTTTTGAGATGTGTCGTTGAATCCAGTTCACTAGGATATTGTTGAGAATGTTGGCATCTATGTTCATCAAAGATACTGGCCTGTAGTTCTCTTTCTTTGTTGGGTCTTTACCTGGCTTGGGTATCAATGTGATGTTAGCTTCGTAAAATGATTTGGGGAGAGTTCCATCTTTCTCAATCACCTGGAATACCTTCAGTAGGATTGGTATCAGCTCCTCCTTAAATGTCTTGTAGAATTCTGCTGGAAAGCCATCTGGTCCAGGGTTTTTTTTTTTTTTTT